CTAGGCATGGGGAACCTCTGCCCTTCCAGATGTTGCAGGACAACAACTGCTATAAACACTAACCATTGACCACGTTGCCTGGGGCCAACACAAGTTCCGCAGCATCTGGAGGACCACCCCCATCCCTGATCTTGGGTCTACCCCAGCATTTCCCAAACTTGGGTCCCCAGCTGTTTTTGGACTACAACTCCCATCATCCCTAGCTAACAGGACCAGCGGTCAAGGATGATGGGAATTGTAACTCCAAAAACAGCTGGAGACCCACGTTTGGGAAACAGCTGTCTACCCAAACTCATTGAAATGGCATTACTTATTACTGCAAAATGCAGTGTAGTGGATTAAAAAACAAACACCAACCTGTCTTGTTGGGCAAGAAAAAAAAGAGGTCAGTTGACAGATGGAGATACATAGATTTGGGGGAAGGGGGAGGAGAAAACCAGAAAAGTGGGAGGGTAAGAGATAGAGGTGACCTGCAGGAATACAAAGATATTTATGGAATATTTATGGAAGAAGCAGGGGTGATAGTACAGCGAGTGGTTCAGAGATGGATGGGGTGCTGCAGAACGGAAAGAGGAGAGCACGTCCCCTGGGCTAAAAAAACAAAACATTGAGACGCTTTAAAGACAAACAGTGTTTATTGTTGTAGACGTCAGAAGATTATAACTCGTGAGGGGGGTCACAACAGCTCAAGCAACAAATACACCTGTGAAGCCACGAAAACTCTTTCTAATGCTTCTGCTGCTGCAAACGGACAAAAAACGGCGCTTTTTATGTGCTTAGTTACGGCTTGTACCAAAAGAAAAAGGGAGGGGGAAAACACCAGAAATTAGCCTCGAGGGAGATGGCACTTGAGGTAGCCTGTCAGCGACGGTTAATCTGCCTCACGCGCATCCCAACCGCGCAGCCCACAAAGCACATCTTCGAATCCCGGCCCCGCCCCCCATCACGGGTTTTTTTTTGTTTTGTTTTTAATTAACAACCGGAGCTCGATTAGCCCCGCCTTCTTGGTCTCCGCGTCTCTTCAGCATAAAGGCCAACGCCAAAGGCCATTTTAACAGTTTTCCCCCTCCCCCTCGCCGCTTCGGAGCGCGCACGCGCTGTGGCTCCGCCTCGTGAAGCAAACGGCATCTCTCCCTTTCCCGCCCGCTCAGGCGGCCGGGTGGGCGCGCTCCGGCGCGCGCGCTCCCGCTCTCTTTCTCTCTCTTGTCTCCTCGCGCCCTCCTTTCAAGCTTTCCTGCCACCGCCCCTACTCACTTGTGGAAGGAGATGGGCTTCTCTTTGTCGTATCGATTCCGGCAACGGTAGGCAGAGCAAGACTGCACCATCCTCTCGCTGCCGCCCTCCTTCGACCGCCGTAAATATTTTTTTTCGGGAGCTCGAAAACACACTTAGAAGGCCGCGAAGATCCAAATACCTCCCCGAGGCCTCGGCGTCCCTTTTTTAAAATTTAAAAAACCCGAAGAACGACATAAGCTGGCTGTGGCCTCTCCCTACTTCAACATGGCGCTGCCAGCTTCAGAGCAACTCTCGCGAGAGCGCCGCCACCGTGCTTTGCTATTGGTCACGCCCCGTGATGGTTTGGGTGCGGCACGTCTCTGCTCGCTGCGTCCAATAGGAGCGGCCGTTCAGATTTTGACGTGCCTACCTTGGCTCCCGCGCTCGTAACTGTACGTGCGTCCGAACAGTGGCTTGTTGCCCTCTTCAAAAGGGCTGGTTTGAAAGCTGAGCTTGCGCATAGGGTGGCCTCTCGCAGATGCCTATTTTAAATCGTTCTGAAACTGAAGCGAGAGACAGATGGAAGAATTTCTGCATGATTTGTTCTTCCTTTTAGGGCTGCGCGCTTGCTCCTACTTACTTAAGAGTAACCCCATTGAACTGAACTGTGCTTACTCCTAAGTAACCAAGTACTAAGGATTTTTTTTTAAACTCAACAAGACATATATATCGCTTGATTGTAAACTGAACAGTTTATATTGCTTAATTGTGAACTGTGCAGTGGTTGTGTTACAAAGATATAAAACATTAGAATTCTCAGTAAAAAGAAGAAGCCAGAAACAGGTATTTAAAAAACAAATGATTAAAGTCAACAGTAGCTTAAAAAATTGAGCTGCAGGTGTCTGTGTTTGGAATTGAAAGTATCTGTTTCACCCTTGGCCTTCCTCAGGGAACCCCTGTAATAGCACAGCTTTGGTCTCATACAATTTCTGCACATAAGTACCACCAGCCTTAGGGACGCGGGTGGCGCTGTGGGTAAAAGCCTCAGCGCCTAGGGCTTGCCGATTGAAAGGTCGGCGGTTCGAATCCCCATGGCGGGGTGCGCTCCCGTTGCTCGGTCCCAGCGCCTGTCAACCTAGCAGTTCGAAAGCTCCTTCGGGTGCAAGTAGATAAATAGGGACCGCTTACTGGTGGGAAGGTAAACGGCGTTTCCGTGTGCTGCGCTGGCTCGCCAGATGCAGCTTTGTCACGCTGGCCACATGACCCGGAAGTGTCTCCGGACAGTGCTGGCCCCCGGCCTCTTAAGTGAGATGGGCGCACAACCCTAGAGTCTGTCAAGACTGGCCTGTACGGGCAGGGGTACCTTTACCTTTTTACCTTACCACCAGCCTCGATGGAATGGCCCCAAAGGGTGATATGCCCTTTTTTGAATATGGCTTTGTGGACTTTCATTTTTTAAAATCTAGGCCATTAGGTAAAAAGTATGGAGTTGTATGGAATGTTCATTATCTGTTGATGGGGATGCTAGTAGAAGGAGAACAATTGTTCCATGCTCCAGCATGTGAGCCTGTTCTTGTGGGTCCTGTCCGCCCCCCCAACACCCATGGGGAGACAGGAGGGGAGTGGGTGTTATATCCTGGGTTAGTAGATGTGTATTTTTTCTCTAGGCTCTCGTTAATGTGGAGCTAACGAGTATATTGTTGGATGGATATGTTGTGACAGCGAAGTGGTTTCTGCTCTAGGGTGAGAAAACATTAGGGGAACTTGCCCATTGTGAGAGAGGAGTGTGTAAGGCACTTAGGCAGGAAGAACCAGCTGCACAAATATGATGGGGAACACCTTGATTGCCGGTTGTACATGTGAAAAGGGTCTAGAGGTCACAGTACACCACAAGCTTAACATGAGTCAACAGTGTGATACAGCAGCAAAAAAAGCAAATGCTCTTCTAGGCTGCATCAACAGAAGTATAGTGTCCCAATCATGGGAAGTAATAGTCCCACTCTATTTTGCCTTGGTTAGACTGTACCTGGAATGCTGTGTCCAGTTCAGGGCACCACAGTTTAAGAAGGGTATTGACAAGCTGGAATGTCTGCTAAGGAGGGTGACAAAGATGATCAAGGGTCTGGAAACCAAGCCTTATAAGGAACAGTTGAGGGGAGTAAGTTGGGTTACCAGCCAGTGTTAAGCAAACCACTCCCTACCATAGCAACCAGCAGGGTTTCAGGAGTAATATTGGATCGTGCGTCTTCTAAGCTAGACCATACAGTTTACAATTTACTAGTCCAACCTATTGCAATACAGGAATCTTTCATCCAATGTGGAGTTTGAACGCACAACCCTCATGCTCTACTGACTGAACTATGGTGTTGAGGGCAGAACATAGATAGACTTGTGGGAGTCTGTTTCACTGTCAAACAGCTCTTACTGTCAAAAAGTTATTCCTGATGGCAGCATCTTCTGTCTTGTAACTTAAAGCTATTTGTTCAGGTCCTAGCCTCTGGAGCAGAAGAAAACAAGTTTGCTCCATGTGACAGCCTTTTAGATATTTGAAGACGGCTATCCTCTTGGTCTCCTCTGTACCAGGCTAAACATACCCAACAGAGAAAGTAGACCTGCCCACTCCTGCACCTGCCTTAGTCACACCCAAGGTAAATTGTTGCAATGTGCCGTATTGCTGCCCTTGGGAAATATTGGGAAATTACAGCTGATGCCACAATAATATTTGGTGCTTGCTTTTTTGACCATTTCAAAAAAGCCTTGTTTAAATTCAAGGTACTGGCTATTATATTACCTCTGTGAGGTCCTGAATGGTCCTGGACTAGAATATTTGAAGGGCCACCTCCTCCTGTATAAACTATCCGTCAATTGCATTCATATTTGGAAGCCCTTCCCTGATTTTGCTGGCAAGAGTGATGAAGTTGGCTGGGATGTGTGTCTTTTTATTGGGCCCATCCTGATTAAGGACCTTCTTCCCAAGAAAGGCTAGATTGGCTCCTTCAAATATTTTTAGGTGAAGGTTTAGATGTTTTCTGTTCTGCCTAGCTTTTGACATATTTTAACTTATCTCATTGGTAGGTCCCTGGCTGACTGCCTTGCATCTGCATATAGGACTGGGGGGAATTCTTGTCTGAAACCCTGGAAAGCTGTAGCCAGTCATGTATATAGTACTCTCATAGATGGACAAATGGTCTGGCATGATAGGCAGCAGGTCCCTAAGCTTCTATTTTCCTGAATGCAATATTCCCTTTTCCATCACTCCTTATACTTGAAGAAATGAGATACCTCTATGCAGTGTAGAGAACAGGGACTGCAATCAAAGGAGAACGACAAAATTAATTTTCACCTATGGCAACAACAAAACAGCCTGAGTGGTCCCTGAATATCATCAAGTTGAGGGGTGGCTTTAGGCTGTTAGTTGTTATTGGTTGTACAAGTCTGTCTGCTATTCGTCCACCTACCTGCTTTGACCACCGTTTCAAGCATCTTAAAAATTCCCGTACTTTCCCCTGCATTTTTGCTTAAAGATCTGGAATTAAATCCACATGCCTCTGTGCATTAGGTTTTTCTTTTGGTTGGTAAAGCAGGCACGTGCTCTGTCACTCGTCATCAGGCGTCTTTAAAAGCCTGCGGTATTAACTGCAAAGCGCCTTGGAAGAGATTTGCGGCCGAAGATATTCTCTATATAGTATGGGTGCGCACTGGGGGGGGGGATCTAAAAGGAACCCTTCCCACATTCAGATTTACAGTACTGTTCTAATCTCTCTTCTCTCTATGCCACCTTCCCATGCCAGCTCTTTAGAAGCAGCAGCGCCCCCTTTCCCTTTGTTTTGCTTGCGATCGCCTTCCGTAAACAAAGAAAAGCAGCAGGCGAGCCAGCCCAAGGCCGCTCGGCCAGCCTCGGCAGCGCCGGAGCCTAGAGGGCAGTGTGAGCGCCGCCGCGGCCGCAGCCTGGAAAGGCGGAGCGGCAGGAACTGCTAAGGCGAGGCGTTTTTGACATCAGTTCCTCTGGCTGGGAGCGGGGGGTGGGAAGAGTTTTCTTCCCGAAAATGCCACAAGTAGAAAGCGGCGAGCCCCGGGCGGCTGCCCTGGGGCAGGAGGCGGCGAGCGGGCGCGCCCCGTGAGGGTCTGCTGCTGTCGGCGGCGCCTTCGAGGCTGCGCGCCTGCTCTTTTCCCCTCCTGGGAGCGAAGGAGCTTCAGTTAGTGGCGGCGGCAGCAGCAGCAGCGACGTCAACTCCGGCCCCGCTCGCCGTCGCACCCAGCATGAGCAGTGGCGGCGGCGGGCGCTCGGGCGCCCGCGTGGCCGTGAAGATGGAGGTGGCCCCCTTCTACGGCGAGGACGGGCTGGAGCTGCTCCCGGACTTCGTGCAACTGCCGGGCTTCGCGGGCGGGCCCGGCGCAGCGGGACCTGCGGGGCTGGATCCGGCCGAGGAAAGCGCGGCGGACCAACAGCACAAGCTGCTCCTGGCCGGGAAGAAACAGCAGCAGCGGGACTTGGTGGCGGCGGCGGCTGCCACCCCCGGCGCTGCCTTGCCGCCCACCGGTCCCTTCACCTCGCTGCGCCCCCGGGGCGGCACCAGCAACGCCGTGCACCGCCTGATCCCCGACGCGCCCGGAGTCGGCCAGGAGGTGGGCTCGGGCGTCCTGCAGCCTCTGTTGAAGCTGCCGGCGGCCGCCGACCTAGAGCAGCTGCTGATCCAAGCGGGCAGCCCTGGCCTGGCCGGTCCGGCCAGCCCCGGCGCCGGAGGGCCTTCGGTGGCGGCGGCGGCGGCCGGGGGCTCCTTCTTGTACCGGTCTCCGCAGCCCTCGGCCCAGCAGCAGGCGGTGACGCAGGAGCAGGAGGGCTTCGCCGACGGCTTCGTGAAAGCCCTGGCCGACTTGCACAAGCAGAACCAGCTGCTCGGCGTGTCTCCGGCGCCCCTCTCGCCCACCGCCCACCCGGGGGGCCCCTGCTGCCCTCCGTCCCGCCAGGAGTCGCCCGCCGTCTACACCACCTTGGGCGGCTTCAACCCGGCCAGCCCCTCGGCCGGCGGCACTTTTTTCCCTCCCCAAGTCGTGGCTCGCCTTCCAGCGCCCGGCTCGACGGGGAGAGCTTTGGAGGAGCCTCAGACGGTGCCAGAGGCGGCCGTGGTGTCAGTTCCTCCTCCTCCGCCACCTCCGGCGCTTTCGTCCGGAGACTCGCCGCCGCCGGCCTCCTCCTTGTCCCCGCTGGACGCCGAGAGCCAGGAGCGCCTGAAAGCCGAGCGCAAGCGGCTGCGCAACCGCATCGCGGCCTCCAAGTGCCGCCGGCGCAAGCTGGAGCGCATCGCCCGCCTGGAGGAGAAAGTCAAGGCGCTCAAAGGGCAGAACGCCGAGCTGGCCGCCACCGCCAGCCTCCTGCGCGCCCAGGTCACCCAGCTGCAAGGCCGCGTCCGGAGCCACCTCTCCAGCGGCTGCCACATTAACGCCGCGGCGGCGGCCCCGACGCAGACCTCGGCGGCAGCTAGCCAGCCCCCGGGCAGAGAAGGAGCCACAGAACCGGAGACCAGCGCTTGCTGAAGCCGCTCGACCGTCCCGCGACGGGGAGAGATACCGAGGCGCGCACAAGCTTGCCTTGCGTGGCAGAGCGGGAAGGATGACCCCTTGATGGTGGCGAACCTTCAGTTCCCTCTTCTTCGGTTCCCAAAGGTGCCATTCGGTCATCGGAGGAGCTTGGCGAACGGATGGGTGAAGAGGTTCCTCTCCCACACGCCCCCTATGCACCCCTGTGCCCTCTTCCCAGCTCCAAAGGGAGCCCCAAGAGCCAGAGAGAAACGCGGCGTAATGGGAGGTGGGGAGGGAGAAGAAATGTGGGGAGCAACAGTCTCTGCTCCTCAAGGGACAGGATGGGACAACAGACGCTTTGGACAGCCAGGGAATGTTGTTTACTCCCGAAACCAAACTTTTAACAAGTACTCTTCAGTCGGAACCAATTTGAGATCATTTCCAGCATCGATAGCTTTCCTGCCAAGTCGTGAAAGTGACGCTGAAGTGATTAATAACCAGATTGTGGTGTTTGGGTTTTTCTTTCAGGAGCACAGGTCAGGTGCGCAGACATCAGGGCGAAGGAGGGTGTGTGAAGCTGCAGCAGTTGATGCCATTCTGACAGTCCCCCAGTTACATCAGGAAGCTCACTTTTCTAGCTTCTCCAGCTCAAAACAAATCTGAAAAGCTTTGCAGATCAGACACAGAAAAAAACAAAACCAGATTGTTGCTGGAAGTCCAAAGATCTCTTCAATGATCCCACCTGATCTTATGGTGTGGGCAGAAGTTGTCTTTGTTGAGGACTATATATTTTAGAGATTCTTGAATTTTTTTATTATTATTTTTGTGGTGGAAGGTGATTAGAGTCAACCTGTATAGCTTTTTCTTCAAGTTGCCAGGGATTGTTTTAAAAAAAAATCCAGTATTTTTTGGCTGCAGGCTTATTTATTTATTTCTTTAAAAAGGCTTTAGATTTTCTATGATGGGGTGCTAATTGTTTGGTAAGGGGCATGTATGTCATGCAGATTGCTAGGTGTTTTGATAAGAGCGGTAATATTTTTAAAAGATACAATCCTTGCAGTTTGACACAGGGTAGTTTTGTGAAATGTTTCTCAAGAATTTGGGATGGTCGTAGCTAATACAGGGCTTGTCAAGTCTTATGTACAGAGAGATAACTTATTATTTTCCTGCTGTAGAAGTTTTATAGAATTGCTCAGACTTTGAGAGAGCCAAAATGTAATTGTTTAGGAAGATACTATAAATATTATAGACAATATGGCAGTGTAGTTTTTCTTGGTGTAATAATGGAAAGTCAAAAAATGATTACCGTAGTTGCTGTGAGAATGTTTTGGTTGAATTTCTGATGCCGGATAATTTGCTCATCATGAATGAGTAGTGCTAAAGTACAGCAACAGAAGATGATGTGCCACACAAAACTATTTATTTAAAAATTAGTGTTTTAAGAAGATTGTGGGGTTTTTTCTAGACTTATGAGCTCCATTTTATTTCTTGTGCCAGCACAAATCTGGGACATTGATAGGCTTATTTATTGAAATGCTTTGGAATGTCACATTTTATTTTTATAATGTGCAGAATGATAAAAGAAATGGTTTTGGAAGAGTAAATATCAGATGATTTATCCTTCATGGTGCACATTCCAGCTGTAATTGCTCTGTATGAAAGTATAGTGGCTGAGGCTGCAGTCCTATGCCCACTTACTAAGGACTAAGTCCCATTGAACTCAATGGAGCTTGCCTTTGAGTAGACGTGTCTAGGGTTGCACTGCCACTGCTATGCAGAAAAGGCTTGGTGTTTTTTTTTAAAAAAAATAGAACAATTCTATTGTACTGTGTTTTGAATAACACATAGAAATGTGGGTAGTTTTTCTTCCAAGAACAGTGTATAAGCTATTTTATTGCAGTTTCCATTGTAAATATTTTCTAGTTCTCAGTGTGTCTGGCTGTTAACCAGAAGGTTGGTGGTTCAAGCCCACCCCGGGATGGCGGGATGGCTGTGGGCAGGATTCCTCCACTGCAGGGGGGCTGGACTAGATGACCATCCTGACCCCTTCCAACTTCCAATTCTGTGACTTTGTGATTCCGGGTGGGAGGAGGAAAGAGAAGTTTGAAGTCTTTGAGGTTTGTTTTAAAGTGGGATCAGCAAAAAGAAGCTGTTGCCTGTAATTTGTTTAACTGAGAGTTTTGACAGTTTTCTGGTCAAAGTGTGCCGTGCAAAATCTCCTCCCCGTCCCCAGTTGTATATAGAGCATAGTTTGGATGCTTCTCAAAATGCAGTTTTATTGTTTCTGTGGTTTGTTTTAAACTTGAGCTCTCAATATAACAATCCTTGCCTGGATATAACATGTGAATAGCTTGTGGCAGTGAATATATATTACTTTCCATAAGGCAGTACTGCGACAACCTTGCTTGAGAAATAATGATAAACAGATATCATAGATTATATTACACAGTACCATTTCCATGCTTTGGAGAGATTCTTGGAGCAATGCTTTGCATATTTACTTGGAAGTAAGTCTCAGTAAGTTAAGTCAAGCTTATTCCCAAGTTAAGTACGCATAGGATTGCAGCTCCAACTTAATGACATCAGGAGCTTTTTGTATTTAGAACCATAATGCTGCAAATATGTGAAATAACCAGTCTTATCCTTTTAGAAATGGAGAAACTTGGAAGAAAGCTTAATTCATTTGATCAGTCCATCTTGCAGTAATTGCCAGAGTTTCATCAATATTTGCAGAAAAAGTACTTGAGCTTGCATACTCTTAAAGGATAATATGGCAAAGGTGGAGACTTTATAGCAGTGCCTTAAGTGTGAGGGATGCAAATTAAATAACGAGTTGTACAAAAGGTATCACCTTAGCTGGGACCAGAGCAGCTACTACATTTACATAGTTGAAAATGCCCGATGATGTGACAATGTTTTTTCTCAGGTGGGTTCTAATCTGGAATATTAAATCTAAGGGGGAAAAGCTCAGGCTTAGATAAATCACGGTTGTTGCTGCTTCTCAAATGTACCTGGAAGTTGCATGTTTCTTGCAACTTGTTTCTTAACTTTTCTCGTAAGGGTACATAATAATTCTGGCTGTCTCAGAGGTTGGAGCTGAGAACCTACATTTTCTTACCTGTTGCGATTGATGGGGCTGCATGCTGCATCATTTCTGCCAAAAGCGTATTTTGCTTCTTGAAATATATGCAGTGTTCTAGGTTGTTCACCCGTTTCGTAGCCTTTTCTGCTAAAGTCAGTAACACAAAGTCCACAACTCTGTTTGCTACCTGCCTCGTATTTGTATCCATGGCTCTTGTTTTTCTAAAAGTACCAGTCATTCTGTCACTGTCCCTGCAAGCCTGTTTAAATGCAGTGCCGTTCATGACTGAACATTTTACTTTCTGACCCACCAATAGAATTCCTCTCATTCCCCCGCCTCAGATGCATTCAAGCCCATTCCATGTTGTGGTCTGTCCCTCTCCTCTCACCCACCCAGTTCTGAGAATTTCTCTCTCTCTTTTTGCAGAGGTGAGTTAGTACCTGATTGATCATTCCTTTAAAATGCACTTTTCTCATCTGAATCCACCTTTCCACTCCTTTCTGGTTCCTCTTTTGTGTGCATGTATTATAGTAAGTCTTTGGTTTGCTTTCTTTGGCTCCTGCACGTTGGATCATTTTAAGAATACCCACCAGATACACACACAGGCATGCACACACAAAATTCTAGGCTGAGTGGTACTCACCTGCATAAGCACTTCATTGGGCAAATATTCCAGTTTCTAGTGAGCTTGGTGATCCGGGTGATGTCCATTGTTTTACTGGCATGGCACTTTCTGTCAGTGAAAAAGGCGATTTAAAGGGACTGTAAACCTTTTTCCTTAAGTAGAGGGAGGGCAGCTGGTTTTCCTGCACACTTACATAGCCCACATGAACACTCAGGTAGTAACTCGCATGGTTGTGTGTTTAGAGGAGCTGACTAATTTGTTGCTAACTTAGTGAGTGACGATGTGTCACAACTCCTACCCAATTCCTCTTTTTAACACACTGGTGGTATAGGTCTGGCTCTCAAAAGATTTTTATTCTATCGTTGGGTGGAAGCTCGTGTTCAGGTGTGGACTCGATCTTCAAAAACATAACATGGTGGTTTTTTGGTGGACCTAGATGCTCGTAATGGCGCGTGATTTTATAGCAAGTGGGTTCTTCAGTTACAAAAAAAAATGAATTACTGGGTTTAAAATGTCAACTATCTGAATGGTGGTGGCGCTTTCCATTTTTAACCAGTGCTGAACTGTTGCCATAAATACTAGTAGGGTGGTGTTTTTCATTTTGAAGTACTCGAAAGCAGATCTGCACTAAGTGACATCTTAAATACAATGGGCAGATGTTGACGGCACTTAAGTTTCCATTGATTTAAACATGTTCTCAACTCTGCCACTGAAATCAGTGGGGTATGAAAGTACTAATTTTTGCTGAAACAACTTCTGAATTTTTATATTACAGTCAGAATATATTTTAATAACATTTCCCTGGAGAGGAAGAATATATAAAGCACAAAGCGATGTAATTGAGGCTTATTTTTGCTTTCTGCTGCAAATTTGAATCCATTTTTAGTTATACACTGTGGTTAATTGTGAAGACGGAACTGAATGTTGAAATGGCCTAGCTCAGAGGCAGCAAACTTAAAAGTGATTTCTGTTCATTTCAGTTGGGGTTAAAAATAATGAACACTGTTTGGTAATGATACCCTGAATTTTTTTTTTAATCTGTTCCTTTGAGGCAGAGACACTTGATTTGATCACTAGCTATAATTTCATAGATTACTAATGCATATGTTTCCAATCCAACATTTGGATGCAGTCATTCCAAGCATATGGTCTGTCTGCATGATTTTAAAGTGGTATTCTAAGATGTGTAGGTTTTAGATTTAAGACTCCATGATTTCTATGCATGCTTAATTCTAGAAATGCTGATCAGCAAAGCTGCAGCCTTTTGTGGTCATGCAAGACCTGGTCTCGTAACTAGAAGAGTTGTGTGGGAACGAGAGAATTAACCTTGTGTGAGTTAAGCATGAAAAAATAGACTACATGTATTCACACTAGTTTGAGTTATATCATCAGTCCATGTTCTAGGTATCCTGCTCATACGATCGCAAGCAAGCTAGCCTGCCATGCCGGGTAAGGAGTCATTTCAGATATTCTGGTTCTAATTGCTTGCAAATGTTTAAACAGTGGATAATATCTAATAATAATAATAATAATAATAATATATCATCCAACTAAGTCACACTTGTCCATTGATTTCAGTAGGTCTACTCCGGAGTGTGACTTCGTTGTCCTGTATATTACACCAGAGGATAAAAAACTTGCTGCAGTTACTGAATGATGCCTTCTTCCATTAGCATACTGTAATCCCTGTTTTCCGTAATCTGTTTACTATTTCCCATAGTAGATAGTACTGGCAGTGGGCAAGTGTGGTGGAGCAGAGGCATTTACCTGACTGCCCAGAACAGGCATAGGCAAACTCGGCCCTCCAGCTGTTTTGGGACTACAGTTCCCATCATCCCTGACCACTGGTCCTGTTAGCTAGGGATGGTGGGAGTTGTAGTCCCAAAACATCTGGAGGGCCAAGTTTGCCTATGCCTGGTCCAGAAGGTGAGCCACCGTTCCGTTCCGGGAGTGGCAATGGTGCAGCTGCCACCAGCAGAGTCAACCCATTGATCCTGCTGGTGCATTTGCTCTGTGCTGCCCTCCCGGTTAATGGCAGCGACTCATCTGCTGGGAAGTCGGGCAAGTGTTTCCATCCTGCTATGCCGTATGCTGCTGAATAGCATTCACTGTAAGTTGTCTGTTGCATTACAGTTTTGTTTTGGTTTTGTTTTTCGAAGTAGGCATGCTGAGACCCAGTAATAGAAAACAGTAAAACAAATGGGGACCCTGCTTGGTCTCTGTCAGCTGCCTCCAAAATAATCACATTCCTGATCATCCTTAGCAGTACAATAGTGAATTATTGTATGGCATCCTGTACCAAAATGCTTTGACGCAGATTAAGATGAATGGCTTGATCTGGAATGCTGTAAACGTGCATGTTACTGTGAGAAGAGCATAAATGTAAACTCCTTTTTTTGTAGCTTTTGTCCTCGAGTCCTATCAAACTTTTTGTGGGAATGTTCAGGGAGGCAGGAGAGGATATATTGTTGATTACTATCCTTTCTAACTTGTGCTAGCAAGTTCCTTTACTTATCAGAGTTTTGCATTTCCCTTTTAAACGTAGCTGGTTGCAGGCTTGTGTAAGCCTTTCACTATTAGGTTCCTGGTAAGTTCCCTTATATCCCTCTAAAAAGAATAAACACACGGCAATCTTATTTAATGTCAATAAAAGTTTACTCACATCATCAGTTCACGGTTGGATCCCTGAAGGCAGACTTAGTTACAAGTATATTAATGTGGCTCTACCCCATATGGGGGAATAATCCCAGTGACTGCAAGCTAGCAGTCACTGCAGTTCACACAACAAAAGGAAGATGGAAGAGAGAGTGTGGCAGCATGCCTTGTCCTTTCGTTACCTGAACAGGTAAGGTCACGCCCACCTCTAGTCACGTGCAAAGGAAGGATGCCCCAGCCAGGAGGAAACAGGAAGTTTTCAACTGGCTGGACCAAACATTTCCCTGCATGTCCACTCTAGGAGAATAAGGAATGTTGTACTTGACTGCTACTTCTGTATCACATCCCACACTTTTCATATAAAAAGACTTCGTAACCCAACTGTAAGCATATTTGCTATCACAATCAAGTCCTGCTCAACTCAGGGAGGCATTCT